TGGGATCAAACAGACATTTTCAGGAAAATATTACTGTGACTTACAAAGTAGACGAACCATTAGGGTAAAATTTTCAAAAGTGCTTAACTCACTTTGGAAAATGAACTCCTAAGTCATTTGAAAATGTTACCCTTAGGCAAGATCTACGCTAGAAGCGCTTTTACTGGTAGAGCTATGCGATTACAGCAATACTGGCAATACGCCGATAGTGTTGTGGATTAATTTGTACTGGCAAAACTGTACTTTTGTCAGTATAGCTTATTGCAGCCTGCCCCTCTCCCCCAAATGAAATAAGCTATATGGACAAAAGCACAGTTTTCTGTTATAACTGCATCTACACTAGGGGTTTAATGATGGTTAGAGATCACATCTTCTCACACCCCTGATTAACATAGTTATGCTCTCAAAAGTTTGTAGTGTAGACCTGGTCTCAGTCTCTTAATGAAATTCGAAAGAGAAATTTACAATGTAATTTACAGAGAGTCATTGCAGCCCTCTACAGTTTTGTGGAGATATTGAAGCAGATTAAATATTTCTAAAATCTTTTTTTATCAAAGTTCTCTTAAGCATATTGTTGACAAAGTTGATTTTAACCTCTTTTGAAGGTATCAAATTCAAATTTAAAGAAAAACTGCAGTGACTAATTTTGTGACTTTAGATGTTTGCAGTATACTATTTAAAGAAGAAATGCATAAAAGAGTTTAACATTGTTTGCCTTTGTCGCTTGTGTACTCTGCAAAGTTAACCAGGTTCAAAAGGTCTGTGGAGCAGGGGCTGTTATTAAACTACAGTGTCCAGCTAGCACAGTGGGACCCTGACCTGATTGACTCCTCTGTGTGCTACTGTGATACAAATGATTGATAAATAATCACTTTCTGAATCCTGTTAAATTATATACTGCTTAGTTATCATTAAGGTTGCCTTTTAGTCACAGGAATTTTTAGTAAAATTCATGGATAGGTCACGGACAGTAAATAAAAATTCATGACCCATGACATGTCCATGACTTTGTACTGTATACCCCTGACTAAATCTTGGGTGCTCTGGGGCAGGGAGCGGCTCAGGGGTGCCGCGGGTGCTCTGGAGGGAGTGTGTGGCCCGGGGGCCACCACAGCTGCTGCGGGGGGGGAGCGGGGGAGCCAGGCAGCAGCATGTGGCCTGGGACCCATGCTGCTGCTGGGGGAGGGCAGTTGAGGGGCTGGCAGGCTCCCTACCTCACTCCACGCGGCTCCCCGGAAGCGGTGACGTCCCTCGGCTCCTAGGCAGAGGCACAGCCAGGGTTCTCTGTGTGCTGTCCCCTCCCCTAGTGCCGGCTTCACAGCACTTCTGGGTGGAGGCAGTGTGCAAAGCTGCCTGGCCATGCCTCCGCCTAGGAGCCGAGGGACATGTCACCACTTCCAGGAAGCCCCCTGAGGTAAGCGCCTCCCGGAGCCCTCACCCCTCCCGTGCCCCAACCTCCTGCTCCAGCCCTGAGCCCTCCCCCACACCCAAATTTCTGCTGCTGCTGCGGTGGGAGGGTGAGGTGGTCTGAGACTGCCCCAGCAGCGGCCGGTGCAGCTGGCCCTAGGGATGCCTGAGCTGCTCAGGTGGCCCCCAGACCAGCCGATACAGATGTCACGGAGGTCCTGGAAAGTCACGGAATCCGTGACTTCCATGACAGATTCGCAGCTTTAATTATGATTGGCTGAGATGACAAATTTCAGTGCAAGAGATTCTCTTGGCAGGTCTGTTCAAAACTTGCAATAATCTTTTAGATTATTAGTATGATATAAAGGAGCCTAAAAAGATGTACAGACAAAAACCAAGCACAAAAATTTAGGCTGTGTATGAGAGAAAACTTGCCAATGGTGAAATGTGTTGGGCTGTGGCATAGTATTTTTAGGGAGGTAGTGGAAATCTCATAATTTGTGACTTCTAAAAATTGGATTAGATGACTAGTAAACATGGTGTAAGCAAGGAACAAACCTTCATTGGCAGGTATTATCATGCATGTCTTCCTTGGAGACCAGGTTAAACTAATATCAGTAGTCTTAACTTTTAGTTTTCTTTTTCTCTTTTTTTCCCCGTGTATCATATTGAATTAATCTCCCTACTTGGTGTTACTGTGTCTTCTCCTCTTAGATCTCAATTCAGCAAACCATTTAAGCACATTTTAAAGTGTCATTGAAATCAATGGGAGTTAAAGTATGTGTGCTTAACTGCTTTTCTGTATCAAGGACTTAGTTGTTGTTTAGCTAAATATAAATAGTAAAGTTCTTTCCTGGTAAATCAGTCCTTTCAGCCCCTTGATTCTTTTGTTGCTCTTATGTGAACTCACTCAATTTTGTCAACCTTTTAGATCATGTGAATCTGAGAAATGAATGCAATCCACGAGCAATTTTCTGCCCCTGTCTTCTGCCCTTTATTTTCTTGCTCCTGTTTCTGATCTTTCTAGGACCTCCATATATTATTTCTTCATGGTGTTTGCAACTCTACTCAGTCAGCTTGGGGCGAGGAAGTAATTTTCCTTCAGGTCAGATTGGCAGAGACCCTGGGTTTTTTGCCTTCCTCTGAAGCATGGGCACAGGTCACTTTCTGGTTTGAACTAGAGTAAATGGTGGATTCTCTGTAATGTGAGGTCTTTAAATCAAGATTTGAGGACTTCAGTAGCTCAACCAGAGGTTATAGTCATCCTACAGGAGTGTGTAGGTGAAGTTCTGTGGCCTGCAATGTGCAGGAGGTCAGACTAGTCAGTGGTTCTCAACCAGCGGCCTGATCAGCACACGTGCGGCCCATATGACATCCTCAGGGCCATACAAGTAGTATGTATATATACATGTGTGTGTGTGTATATATATATTGTGTGTGTGTGTGTGTGTGTGTGTGTGTGTGTATTGTGTGGATGTGGCCCACATAACACACAGAGAGCTGCATATGCGGACCACAGTGGTAAATAGGTTGAGAACCACTGGACTAGATGATCATGATGGTCTCTGGTAACCTTAAAGTCTACTGAAATTCACAGAGGAGAGTTCATAATGTGCGGTTGATACCTTCTACCATATTATAAATGAATATGTTAAATAAGACTGGTTCCAGCAGTACCACGTTAGAAGCCTTCCTTAGCTTAAAATGAAATAAGTTTCTGTTTATCATTACCAGAACTAGCTAATATTTTTCAAATGAAAAATGGGCCTTTTTCCTTTGAAAACTAAAATTGTTATGAAAAATTTGTTTTTATTCATTTTCTGGGTTTTTTATGAAATCTGGAAAAAACTCTTTCATTTTCAGTTTGTCCCTCCTCCTTCCCAACCATCCTGTTGCTGGGAGCCTGCACCTCCCTATATTAGAGTTAAGGGGGACTGGAAATAAGGGGGGTTGTCTCCCTATGTAGCAGATGTTAGGAGTTCCAAGCCACCTTCTGGATTCCTGAGGGGATGCCTCCCCCTAAATTCACTTACAATTCCTGTTTATTAGGGAGCTCTATCTTTTCTGTAATGAGTATCTGCACTGGACATGTGACAAGCCTGCTACCTACTGAATTGCGACATCTTAATCTAACCTCCTTACCTACCTCACTGGGTCCCCGACCTGCTGTAGAGAAGGCAAAAACCACAACCTTTCTCAACCAATTTGGTGGTGAGGGAAATATTCTTTCCCAGCCTCCTCCCCCGCACCCCAAGGGGACTAGCGCAAACCCACGGCAGATCATAAAACTTGGTTCTACTCTGCTCCCATGTGTGGGACGGAGAGCTGCTGATCAGTGTTTGAGAAAGAGTTCCCTTTGGAATACAGGAGTATAAAGATCCCCCCCCTTCCTCTGGTGCATATGGTGGGTCAGTGTCCCTCTCTGGTCCAGCCATGTCCTGTTCCACTCCACTTAGGTAAGTCCATCGCCCTTCTGCCTCCCTTGTATCCCAGATGCAGTAGGACCTTTAAAGGAACCTCGTCCTCTTTTTCCTGCTGCCCAGACAAGTCACCACATTCAATTGTGGTGAGCACATTCTTACTCACTTTTCAGAGTACGACTGCACTGAAAGTGAATATTGTTTTTGTGGATGATGCTGTACTCCCTGGCAACCTGTACAAAATGGTCATAGCAACGGCTGAATTTTACAAATGATGCTATATCCAAGGGGGAGAAGGTGGCTAGATAACAATGCGATTTGATCTAATGCTATAATGCAGGCAAGTTTCTTGTGGTACAGAAGAATTAAATTGAAATTCTAGAACACAACAAAAGTAAATGCTTTTACAGCTATGTCTATACTAGAGTAAAAAGTGTTGTTTTGTTTTTTTAAAGCAAGTGACACTATTCACTACTTTGCTGCTTTGAAGTAAAATTCAGAGAGCAGATTTTGTTCACTCTGCGTGATTTCACTTTTTACCTCAACTTATATACATTTCATTTTGTTTGGAAAAGGGAATACCTGAATTAGTGCACCTGATTGGTTACAAAATTAACAGGATATTCCTCCTTAAATAGATTTTAAAAGGATATCTTAATTTTAAAAATCCTGTTTGGCTCTCCATGTTTGCGTACCATCAAAGCTTGATTAGGGTGGACAAATTAAATTATAGCATAGGAATTCAGTGTGCAAATTTTGGTGGTGCAGGTATACTTAACTCTTATGCAGCACTCTTCAACTTTAAAGAAATTTTTAAACAGTGGCTAATCTTTAGAACCCTTGGTATTAAGTCTGTGATGTTAAAGGAGTGCTAAAGCATTTTAGATCACCATTGTCTCTTTATTCACTTAAAGTGCAGCTGCAGAAGACTAATAAAATGAATCTAATTTGCTTGCACTCTGCTCTTCTAGTTCTGGTAAAAGGACATTGCTGTTTTTACCAGATGTCCCAATTGCTTTTATGTTAAGTGATCAACCACAGAGTGAAGTGTGTTTTGGGCAGGTAGACTACTTATTTGTTTACCTCTGTTGGAATTTGTACTATTTGCTATGATGTACACGAACTCTACTATGATTAATTGCATAACAACCATACTACATTTGTCTTTAACAGACGGGGACAAAAGAATTTGCAGAAGATTTTGACTGAACAAGAGATTCAGAGAAGGAGAGAAAAATGCCGAAGCCAGTAAGTAGATGCCTCCTTGCTCTTCTAGAATTTGACATAGTAATAGCCATAATGCTCCCTGGACTGTGATCTTGTCAGATCTCATAAGCTAATAATCAAGGTTGGGCCTATTTAATACTTGTATATGGGCAAGTGTCCAAGATAAAAATCTTGGTACACCTCTACCCCGATATAACGCGACCCTATATAACACAAATTTGGATATAACGCGGTAAAGCAGTGCTCCGGGGGGCGGGGCTGCGCACTCTGGTGGATCAAAGCAAGTTCGATATAACGCGGTTGCACCTATAACACGGTAAGATTTTTTGGCTCCCGAGGACAGCGTTATATCGAGGTAGAGGTGTACTTCAAAAAGTGGTGATTAGTGTTTCATTTTGGGGGGCCCTACTCTGACAATACCGAACTAACATTGCAGCACAGTGTTAGGGGGAATTGTGCTTCAGGAGTTTCAGGTGAAACATAATGGTGAAAAGTTTCTTCAGAGATGCCTCATGTATCTGATTCATTGTCTATTTAAGTCAGTGGAAGTACTTCCATTGACTTAATGTGTATTGGATTGACCCTGTATGGGGGCTTGCAGGGAAAGGCTTGCTTAGGTGAGCAGTGATAAGTCCCTATGGTGGGGGGGAGTGATGAGCAACAATGTAATGAAACTTGTATGTCAATTTAGAATGCCATGGCCTCCATTGCACCATAGGACTGGCCTGGATGTCTTTTGGCTTGACTCCTTGGTGGGAATAACTTGGATCTTATTTGTGGTTTGGGACTGTAAATGCGATAGGAAGGCAAGCACAAACTTTTAATAGTCTGATTAGCACCTCATTTGCATTGAGGCCAGGTCTCATCCCTGTTCCTGCTGAGATGAGGGACACAAACTGGTTAACCCTTAAACTTCAGCTTCTGGAAAGGTTCCAATATTCTTTGGAGAGAATATTATTGGGAGAATATTATTTAGCCACTGAATCATTCTGCCAGAGTTTTAGTCGGACATTAAGGCTCTCCTCTACCATCCATAAAGTGGCTTCTAGTTGTCCCTTCATCCTCCAAGTTATTGACATGGAATGGCCTGTTTGCTTATTCTCTATACTTAATGGGAGCTTGAATGCTATTTCTGCCTTGTACTCAGCCATTGGAATAAATAATTATGATAATACCTAGCCCTTATGTAGCTCTGTTAATCATCAGAGTGATAAGAAATTTTGCTGTTGGTTCAGACTTGTCAGTATAAGGAGGTTGTCTTCTTTTATGGCTACACCCTTTCCATTGGGAGCTGTGTGTTAAATGTAGGAAAATACCACAACAACACATGGACTTGTGACCCACTGAGGCTTGATTATTTTGATTCTCTTAATAGGGCTTTCAGTAGAGCTTCCCACCTGGGTGATGGGAGTTTAGTGGTCCTTTAAGACTGAGGAGGGAAGTCTCGGGGGCCATCCTACTGCATTACAGGGATTTTTATGCAAACCCAGATCCATGGAACAACTAAAGCAACTGGGAGGCAAGTGGCTTGAGGAGAATCCAGGCTGCTACCTCTGTCTGTGGCCTGGGACCAGAACCTTGAAGTTTGGGTGGGCAAGGCTCCCTTCTGCCTTGGCTAGCCAGAGAGAATCCTGGGCAATATAGTCCCAGGGCTGCTGAGAAGAAGGGAGGAAGTAGGATATAAACTGCTTTCTTCCCTCATAGCTGAGACTGGAGGGAGTTAGAAGTGCTGGCACTCTCTCTTGGAGACAAGGAAAATTTGAATACCAGATCTCAGAGAAGAATCTGGACTCCTGTTAGGAAGGGGTGCAATAGTTTTATGGGAACTTTTATATACAACTTCTCAATTTACTGTCATGGGCTTTGCCAGCAGACCTCTGGGGAGAATGTGAAATCCATGGAGGAATACCAAGTGAAATAAACATATTAGGGAAGGGAGTTACAGTACACGATTGTATTTTGGAGAAATCCACTGGCATTGCCTTCTATAAATTGCCATTAACTGTACCTACTGTTAATAATAATGCATAATGCAGGAACACACTTTCACACAGTATTGAGCAGCATTATGAGAATTATACTACCTGCCCTCAAGCTTTTCATTGGCTGCTTTTGAAGTGGTGGATGTACTTCTTTTTAGTTTGTCCTTTTTTTTTTTTTTTTTTTTTTTTTTTTTTTTTTTTTTTTTTTTTTTTGTTTTTTTTTTTTTTTTTTTTTTTTTTTTTTTTTTTTTTTTTTTTTTTTAAGGCCTGAATGGCCTAAACAATGGTTATGTTCAAGACATGTCTTTATGAAAATATGTACTGTGACATCTACTTCCTTCTAGGAGTCCTACTGTTGTGCTTGGGGTTAGAACGTGATTTGTTTGTTTCCCTGTGGCCAGTCCTAAGCTGTGGAAGGTCTCTCTCTCTGGGCATCTGCCTCACCTTAGCTCTCAATTTAAAAACAGCCAACTAACAACCAAAAAAATATTTTTTCCCAAGTTCATTGTGTATTAAATCCTTGTATGGACCTCTTTTTCCATTGAATGACTACTCTAACTTTTTTTCTGTTCTGTATTTGTTGATTTTTAGTTGTAATGTATTTTAGACTTAACTCTAAGCCATGACTGGTGCCTTAATTACTGTAGAGCATCTCATGGATTGGCACTTAATATTATAACTAGAGAGCACTTTGATAATACTATGCTATAGCTCTCTTTTTACCTATATTACTATGACTGTTTTAGCTGTCTTCTGTTTTATAATGTCTTGGTTGGAATGTGAGTGATCTAATGTGTAGAATTCAGAGGATCTAACAAATTCTTGCAAATGTGTGAGCCTAGGCAATATAACACATTCATTGATTTCTTTTTTTTTAGGTGAACCTTCATACCAGTGTAGAATAAATTTTATCTTTGGATCTTATGTATAATCAGTCATGAAGCTCATATACATTGTTTCGACTTTGAAAGACTTAGTAGAAAAGACCTCTGCCAAACTGTGTTTGGCTTTAGTGTATTAGCTTGTTATAAAGAAGAATTTTGTATTTTATATTTCACTACCACCTCTAATAACACAGCTGCAGATCCCAGTGAAATCCAGAGGGGATCTCAGTTTCAATTTTTGTGTTTAGATGGGAAATAGATCGTTCGGCTCGAATGTTGAACACAGAATCCGGTTGACAGTTTTGTATCACAGATGAATTTAATAACAGAACCTAGCTGGATAATTCTTAGGACTTTCTCAATACTAAGTCTCCTTCTGGGATCATGTTCATGCGACTGTGAATTACATCTTTTGAGTGGTAATAGCCATTTTTTTGAAAGGTGGGAGTGTTTGATCACTTATACATTATTAGGCCAGGTAGTTGGAATGAAAAGTTGGAGTTAGGACTTTTAAAGACATTAAGGTGATGAGTACTTTAGAAATATCTAGGATTGATAATACTTTCTGTTTGATGATTTAGCATACTTTTTCCACTGAGGCTATATTTGGGATCCAGTGGCCTTCCCATAGGCTATTTATTCAGCATTGCCTGTACTCGTCTACATTCTCAAATCTATTGGGCATCATGGAATTTAGCTCCAGATCCAGTTTTCATTGTAATCTTCCAGTGATTTCAATGGGAGTTGCATCAGGCCCTTAACTCACAAAAGATAATAATTATCAATGGATGTATGACCTTTGAAAGGTTTAGTTATCTCAACATCCTGAAAGAGTAGATTATTTGTTTAATCTTCTTTTTTCCAGTATGCTCTTCCCAAAAAACTGAATCAAAATCATTTTTAAATATATGCCATTTTCTCAGATCTTCACCTAAACTAGAAGCATTGAGACTAAAATTAGACATGGTTACATAACTGTTAATCATGTCATAGCCTAAGAAGATTAGGTTTAATTGATTGTAGCATTTACAGAGAGTAAGAGGGCTTCTACAATATTTTTTCCCAACAGCTATTTTTGGTTAGACTTTGGAGTATGTGCATACAGGACTCCAAGCCCTAGAAGGAGAAGGATGACACTACATTGGACACCTAATGATGGTAAATAGTGTAGATGCAACAAAATAAAAATCTATGCTGGAAGGGAGTATAATTAGCATATCTTCCTAAATCTTTTCAGGTATAGAATACATCCAAAAGCAGTAGACTTCAGATTGTAGAACAGTGTTGATATCCTAACATTTTCTTAATTATCTTAAATTTTGGAAGATTATAGTGAATTTTAATAATTAGTATTTAAATTTGATATTTGAATTGAATATAGTGTAAATTCACTTTTTTTTAGCTATATAAGGTTTAGTTATATCACTTTCATAGGAAAATCTTTCAAATTTACTTTCCTGTTATGTGGTAGGCCTTGTGGCCTCAGGACAGCCCTGCAAGTGGCTCCTCACCTCAAGTTTCCCTCATGAGTAACCTAGAGGACTCCACTTCAGGCTCTGACTTAAATATCACCTTTCCCGGGGTCCAATTTGTTACAAAATATCATGCAATAATCTTTAACAAAAGTCCCAACACATCATCCATATCGCCTCCAAACAAACAGTCTTTGCTGTCACCATACCCCAGTGTCTTCCATCACAGCTAGGTTCCTTATCTGTCCTCTTCCATCCATCTTCCAGGACCGCCATCCCCAGTCCTTCCACCTGGGGTTGCAACTCGGCTCTTCCCGGTGGGAACTCCCATAGCCTCTCTGCCAGGATGATTCTTGCCAGGAAAGCATCCCTCAAACACCCCCTGGCCCTTCTCACTGTTCCTTGGGGTCCAGCTCTCAAGCAAGAAGATGTCAGTGGATAAGCCCCTCCACTTCTACTCCTACTTTTTGCCCTCTCTGTCCCTGGGGTCTGGCACTCCAGCATAGAGCCAGCAGGCATCTCCCTCTGTTGCTCCTCTAGCCCAGGCTCTCTGGCTTGGGGGACAGCAGCCAGTAAAATCCCTTTTTCTGCTCTTCTGCCTTCAGTCTTCTCGCAGGAACCACGTTGTCTCTGGCAGTTCTTATCTCCTAGGGCCCTTCTTCTGACTGACTCAGCTTGCTCTG